AAAATAAAATAAAATAAAAAAATAAATAAAAATAAATAAATAAATAAAAGGATTAACTAGGTGTAGTGGTCCACACCTATACTCCAGGTTATCCAAAAGGTTGAGGTAGGAGAATCCTTTGAGTCCAAGAGTTCAACGCTGTAGTGAGAGCTATGATGGTGTCACTGCACCCCAGTCTGGGCAACAGAGCAAGACCCAGTCACTAAGATAAAAAAATAAAATTTCATATGGCTCACACCTGTAATCCTTAGCACTCTGGGAAGCCAAGGCAGGTGGACTGCATGAGCTCACTGGTTTGAGACCAGCCTGAGCCAGAGCGAGACCCTGTCTCTAAAAATAGCCAGGCATGTGGCAGGTACCTGTAGTCCCAGTTACCTGGGAGGCTGACGCAAAAGAATCACTTGAGCCCAAGAGTTTGAGGTTGCTGTGAGTTATGACACCATGTCACTCTACAAAGGGTGACAAAGTGAGACTATCTCAAAAAAAGATAAAATTTCAGAAGAGTTTCCTTGCCTATAAACTAGGGAAAAATCTGAGAATAAATGTTTAGCTTAAGGGGGCAGATTATGTTTTTCAAGTAAAAGTATTAAAAGCCCCTGTCTTCTGATACCTCTCAAGTGTAGCCATAATTTGGGATCTAAAGCTATATACTTGTTCAAGGACAAAATTTAAAGAAGCACACATGTGGCTTGGTGCCCATAGCTCAGTGGTTAGGTCGCTGGCCATATACACCAAGGCTGGCAGGTCTGAACCTGGCCCAGGCCTGCTAAACAATGACAACTGCAACAAAAAATAGCCATACATTGCGGTGAGCACCTGTAGTCCCAGTTACTTTGGAGGCTGAGGCAAGAGAATCACTTGAACCCAAGAGTTTGAGGTTGTTGTGAGCTATGACGCCAGAGCACTCTACCGAGGGCGACAAAATAAGACCCTGTCTCTCGAAAAAAAAGGCCCAGCATCTGTGGCTCAAGAGTCTAGGGTGCCAGCCACATACACCAGAGTTGGCGGGCTTAAGTCCAGCCTGGGCCTGCCAAACAACAATGATGGCTACAATCAGATAATAGCCAGGCATTATGGCAGATGCCTGTAGTCACAGCTACTTGGGAGGTGGAGGCAGGAGACTCGCTTAAGCCTAGGAGTTGGAGGTTGCTGTGAACTGTGATGCCATGGCACTCTACCCGGGGCAATAACTTGAGGTTCTGTCTCGGAAAAAAAAAAAAAAAAGTACACATGTAAGCTAATCAGTTGGGAAGTACATGCAAGTAACAACCTCAAGGGTGGTGCCTGTGGCTCAGTTAGTAGGGCTCCGGCCCCATATACTGAGGGTGGCAGGTTAAAACCCAGCCCCATCCAAACTGCAACAAAAAAATAGCCAGGCGTTGTGGCAGGCACCTGTGGTCCCAGCTACTCGGGAGACTGAGGCAAGAGAATCATCTAAGCCCAGAGTTGGAGGTTGCTGTGATGCCATGGCACTCTACCAAGGGTGACAAAGTGAGACTCTTGTCTCAAAAAAAAAAAAGAAAAGAAACAAACAACCTGGAAAATACTGCCCAGGGGGTACCTGGAGGTGTGAGTTTGACTGCCCCCTTATGGTACTAAATACTCCTTTGGGGTGGAAAAGGGTTCAAGTGTCCTTACGCTTAGTCTGTCCATCGGACTTGCTCCTCCTGGGCGTTCGAGGTTTGGAAATGGGCTTTGCGGGGGTGTTTGCCTCTGCCATTCCCACTCTCCAATCTTGACCCCTTGCCTGGATCCCGTTTTCTAGACGTCCATTCACTTCCCGACTGAAAGCATGAGCTCCATTCTCCAAGGACAAATCTTTATTTAAAAGGGATTTGACTTTAGCCAGGTAGCCCTCCTACAGCGGGAAAGGATAATTTAAGTAGCAGTGAATGTAAACAAGTGGCAAGAAGAGAACAAGGAAACACAAGTGTTTCCTGTATCATTATCAGGCAACAAGGAGAGCATGGGGAGGTTGCTCCCCTGGTCACACAAGTTATAGAGAAGAGATTTTACCTCAGATAACTCTTCCTTATGTAATTTGGTTTCCAAGTCATATAACTGAGTCTTTATTTCTGTTTGCAGAAATTCATGCAAGAGATTCAATTTCTCCTTGACACATTCCTAAGGGAAGGATATAGGTTTAGCAGTCCCCAGATTCCCAAGCTATGAACTAACGGACTAATACACAAGTTATAGTGGTGCCTATGGCTCAAGGACGCCAGCCCCATATACCAGGGGTGGTGGGTTCGAGCCTGGCCCCAGCCAAAAACACTGGAAAAAAGAAAATACACAAGTTATTAAGCTGCCTGGTCATACCACAATAATTGAATGGCAGATAAATGCTGTCTCAGCAAAAAACTAAAGTCATGAAACATGCTCATAAGATTTCTATTAAGATCAATTCACTCCCAATCTCTAAAATGGTAAAAAATGGGACCGTTAGAAGGGAGATGAAAATGGTTTATTACAACAAAAATGTACTCTTTTGAAAACTGTCATCTAAATTACAGTCCAGAATTGATCGTTTAGAAACCTAGCTTGAGGGCGGCACCTGTGGCTCTGTGAGTAGGGCACCAGTCCCATATAACAAGGGTGGCAAGCTCAAGCCCAGCCCTGGCCAAACTGTAACAAAAACTAGGCAGGCGTTGTGGTGGGCACCTGTAGTCCCAGCTACTTGCGAGGCTGAGGCAAGAGAATCACCTAAGCCCAAGAACTGGAGGTTGCTGTGAGCTATGATGGCACAGCACTCTAC